TTATTTTTCTAAGGAACCTCCATACTGTTTTGCATAGTGGCTGCAACAGCTTACATTCCCACCAACAGTGTAGGAGGCTTTTCTTTTCTCCACACTTTCTGCAGCATTTGTTATTTGTTGACTTTTTAATGATGGCCATTCTGACTGGTGTGAGGTGATACGTCATTATAGTTTTGATTTGCATTTCTCTAATAATTAGCAATGTTGAGAATCTTTTCGTGTGCCTGTTGGCCATCTGTATGTCTCTTTTGGATAAATGTCTATTTAGGTTTTCTGCCCATTTTTCGATTGGGTTGTTTGCTGTTGAGTTGTATGACCTGTTTGTATATTTTGGAAATTAAACCCTTGTCGGTCACATTGTTTGCAGGTATTTTCTCCCATTCTGTAGGCTGTCTTTTCGTTTTGTTTATGGTTTCCTTTGCTGTGCAAAAGCTTGTAAGTTTGAGTAGGTCCCATTCCTTTATTTTTGGTTTTATTGCTATTGCCTTGGGAGACCTAAAAAAATACTGGTAGGGTTTATGTCAGAGAATATTTTGCCTATGTTCTCTTCAAGGAGTTTTATGGTGTCGTGTCTTAAGTCATTAAGCCATTTTGAGTTTACTTTTGTGTAATGGTGAGAAGGTGTGTTCTAACCTCATTGATTTACATGTGGCTGTCCAGTTTTCCTACCACCACTTGCTGAGGAGACTGTCTTTTCCCCATTGTATATTCTTGCCTCCTTTGTTGAAGATTAATTGACCATAGGTGTTTGGGTTTATTTCTGGGCTCTATTCTGTTCCACTGATCCATGTCTGCTTTTGCACCAGTACCACACTGTTTTGATTACTGTAGCTTTGTAGTAGTGTCTGAAGTCTGGGAGGGTTATGCCTCCTGCTTTTTGTGTGTGTGTGTGGTACGCGGTCCTCTCACTGTTGTGGCCTCTCCCGTTGCGGACGCAGGTTCAGCGGCCATGGCTCACGGACCCAGCCACTCCACGGCATGTGGGATCTTCCCAGACCGGGGCACGAACCCGTGTCCCCTGCGTCGGCAGGCGGACTCTCAACCACTGCGCCACCAGGGAAGCCCTACCTCCTGCTGTTTTTTTTCTTCAGGATTGCTTTGGCAATTCTTGGCCTTTTAATGGTTCCATATGAATTTTAGGATTATTTGTTCTAGTTCTGTGGAAGATGTTATGGGTAATTTGATAGGGACAGCATTAAGTCTGCAGAATGCTTTGGGTAGTATGGCCATTTTAACAATATTAATTTTTCCAATCCAAGAGCATGCCACCCTGCTTCTTTATCCATCATCCCATCACTACCGTGAGAGCCCCTTGCCTTCGAGGAGGCAGGCTTGAGATCGGTTCTCCCATCTCCTGCCTCAGCTAACTTGCAAAGACATCCTCTCTTTGTCTCAAATTTTGGAATCTCAGCGTTTCAGTTCCCTGAATGTCAGGTAAGGTGAACCTGGTTTGGTAACAGTTTCTCTTCATCTGGATATCTGGCTCTGTGCTAACCTGAGAATGAAGCTGTCACATGGAACTCAATCATGTGAGCCAACAGACCCTTCCTTGCATAAGGCTGTTTGAGTTGGATCTTCTGTTACAAGCACCCAACAGTATCCAGGTAAAGGAGTGCATTGTGTTTGGGACCCTAGGAGCCTCTCCCAAAGCATCATCTGCAGATTCTGGTGCTGGCACTTCCTATATGGCCTCACCTTGCTGGATCCTTGACTGAGAGCCCAGTTCTGTGCGTCTGAATGCCTTGCTTTCAGCCAGAACCCTGCCATGCTGGCACGTAGTTTGGTCTGACCCTACGTGTGCTTGTAGACCCAAAACCTCTGACATCCTGGTTTCTGCTGGTACCTGGAGAACATGTAGGTATACCTCAATTCTGAAACATCGGCTGCACCCAGTACCTCACAGAGCCCTGCTCACCTCTGGCCCCAGCACCACTCTACTGGTAGTCCCATGCCTAGCCCCCCCACCCCCAGTCTGCCTCTGCCATCAAACCCCTGTTCTCAGCCCTCTCCTGCCTCTCCCAACTGTGCTGAAGGTGAGATTTTTTTTTTTCAAATTGCAACAGGTAATGAAAAGAAAGAACAACTTAGTATTTATTGCATTATTTATGCCCTGGGAAAACCTGAACACCAGTAGTCAAGGTATAATGAATAATGGATGCAAATAGCTTTTTTCCAGATAGGAAAAACAGACAAGAAAATTTCCCCCAAAATATCAGTATAGCATATTGTGTCAGATCAAGGTTCTGAAGATTCTCAGCTGCACCAGACCTAAACCTAAGAGATGCGAGGATGGTTTGGGGGCAGGGGAGGCACGCAGGAAGCTCAGGGCAGCAGCTAATTACCAACTGAGGGGTATGTTTCAATGGCTTAACAATCTGTATAGCTGTACCTGTTCTTAGTTGAGTATCTACCTTAAATGTGCATACTTTTATTAAGTTGTGTAATATTTCCTTGGATCTTTAATGTTAAACCCTGTAAGTACTTACGATTTTAAACTATCACCAACATTTGTTTATAAAAACTTAGTGATGGGCTGTTACCTAACACTACCCTTTTGAAAAGGTACCCTACTGAATGACAAATTACATTTGCCACAATGAATGACAAATTACTACCTTGAATGACAAAACTGTAATGCATGCTGGGCTCTGGCTCAAAGGGCTAATGTTGAAAGCTGTTATGAAATTGTATATGAAAGTAGGCTCTTAAAATGGAACTTGGGAGGCTAAAAATACCAGGAACTTGATAAATCAACCCTAAAACTAAGGTTTAACTTTTTATCATAAAGGTAAGAAAGTCTTACTGGGAAAAAACAAGTCTCCTTACAAATGGAGGGTTTTTTCTTTTGAGTTGATACTGTTGATACAGCTCAGCGATACAGCTCAGCAATGCAGCTTTTGGGAAAATGCTTGCTGACAGTAAAATGAGGGTCTTAAATAAATTTAAATCTTTTTTTTTTTTTTAATTTTTGCCTGTGTTGGGTCTTCGTTGCTGCATGCAGCCTTCCTCTAGTTTTGGCAAGCGGGGGCTATTCTTTGTTGCAGTGCACAGGGTTCTCCTTGTGGTGGCTTCTCTTGTTGTGGTGCACAGGCTCTAAGCGTGTGGGCTTCAGTAGCTGTGGCAGGCGGGCTCAGTAGTTGTGGCACGCAAGCTCAGTAGTTGTGGCGCACGGGCTTAGCTGCTCCTCGGCACGTGGGATCTTCCCGGACCAGGAATCAAACCCGTGTCCCCTGCATTGGCAGGCCAATTGTTATCCACTGCGCCACCATAAGTCCCTAAAATGAGGGTCTTATTGAAGGAAAATACTTAGCATAACATCCCCAGAGGATCAAGTGTTCTTGTAAATGTGACTAAACTTTCTCTAAAGATAACAAAAGAATACCAAATTGTGTATGAGAGAGACTTTAGGGTTATTCTAACTCAGAATGGTTACCCTGGCTCAAGGATGACTGTCAAAAATGTACATTTACGGGCTTCCCTGGTGGCGCAGTGGTTGGGAGTCTGCCTGCTGATGCGGGGGATGCGGGTTCGTGCCCCGGTCCGGGAGGGTCCCACGTGCCGTGGAGCGGCTGGACCCGTGAGTCATGGCCGCTGGGCCTGTGCGTCCGGAGCCTGTGCTGCGCAACGGGAGAGGCCACAACAGTGAGAGGCTAAAAAAAAAAAAAAAAAAAATGTACATTTACTCTGAAGTCCAAATTCTAGTGGTGGGACTTCCCTGGTGGCGCAGTGGTTAAGAATCCACCTGCCAGTGCAGGGGACACGGGTTGGAGCCCTGCTCCAGGAATATCCCACATGCTGCAGAGCAACTAAGCCCATGCGCCACAACTCCTGATCTCTAGAGCCCACAAGCCACAACTACTGAAGCCTGCGTGCCTAGAGCCTGTGCTCTGCAACAGGAGAAGCCACTGCAATGAGAAGCCTGTGCGCTGCAACGAAGAGTAGGCCCTGCTCGCCACAACTAGAGAAAGCCCGTGCAGAGCAACGAAGACCCAATGCAGCCAATTAAAAACAAAAGCAAATAATAGCAGTATCTAAGCCACAGAATTGTTCTAAAAGGATCTTTTCAAATGGGGGTTATGCAGGGCTTCCCTGGTGGCACAGTGGTTGAGAGTCCGCCTGCCGATGCAGGGGACACGGG